GGTGTTCGTGGAGTCCTCCAACTTGGACGGAAACCACTCAAGCCTTTTATACGGCTAACAAGCCAATCACTAGCCGCCACGTGTGAATAATTTATAACTGGCCAATGATGGGGCACAAATTTGAATATGAATGGCAGGAACTCTTTGCAACGAGCATCTCTGTGCTGCAACAAAGAAATGCACCCTGCAAAGAAAGCTACTGGTGGCGGGAATTCTTTTGCACCGGGGTTCTCTTCTGCAGCAGAAAACTCCACCGTGCAAAGAAGCTGCAATTTAGCGGGAACAATTTAGCAGTGCCGAAGCACACACAAACAAAAATCACACCCTTGGGTTGTGACAATATATATCATGGCTTTTATATTATTCATGAAATCTAAAAGACTGGAGATATTTGTACTGTCCTGAAATGAATAGTAACACTGAGGAAATAGTTATTTGTTGCTTATGCCAAAATATAGGCCGAGTTAAGAGAAAAAACCCAAGCTGGTGGCACAATAAAAATTGTCTAAGTGGAGTAAAACAGGCAGCAATGTGTTTACACTGGCCAGAAAAAAAGAGGATATTCTCAAATATAACATGGGATATTTCATCCCCACACATGAGGGGATCCACATCTTTTCGCCCAAAGTCAGCTGGGGAAAATGGTACTATGAAGACAGAATGGTACTATGAAGGAATATGTGACACTTGAAAATTCCTGAAAGGAGGAGAAGGAACGGTGAGTTGGCCATCTTGCCTAAGAACTTCTCAAACAGGCAACATCAGAGCAGGTTGAGAAGGATGAGTCCCAGATTATGGCATAACCAAAATGAACGGACTTAGAGCTGCCTGACAACAGTAGTACTGCTGTCCCAGAGACTGACAGATGAGAAGCACAGATAACTTTAGAGACTGATTGACCATTACTTCTAAGTTGTATATATGCAATTTGAAATTCTGTATTATGTTAACCTCAGTCATTAATTGTTGTTGCTATATTAGTCTAGGAAAGGATGATTCCTGAAATTATACATTTTAGGCATGAGCCAGTTAAAAATGGTAGCCATCCTGAGCTGAGGGTCTTGTTATGCAAAGGTAGAACTTGGACAATGAATAAAGCAAGCCTCTGTCAGAGTACTTGATTCTGAGTGATTAAGGAGAAACTCAATCTTGTGCTCATGATGCTAAGTAAGCACCTTTTTCAAAGTGAGACAGAGTTTTCCTCTTAGGGAATTCTGGAAATAGGGCAATAATAATAAAAAGTCAAAACTTAACAAGGTCCAGTGAAATTTCCCTAGCTCCCAGACTAAGGAAACAGTGTCATTTGCCTGAGAATTATGCTGAAAAGGAAAACAGAGCTGGTGAAGATTTACAGACTTAGTGGGACAGGCAGAAGACATACTTTTGATAGCTTAATTGAAACTATCTTGTGAAGGCAGGGAAAAGCTTGGCAAACTCTATACTCTACCATAATATTTGCTTACAAGGCCAGTACAGAAGTAAATTACTCAGTATTACCACTTGTGATGTCTTCTGGGAGCATGGGAGACTGGTGCTGCCTTAGTCAGGGCAGGGAGGGGTCCCCTGTGGCTGATCCTGCCGGCCAGGAGGGGTGGGGGGTGGCTGCGGCTGCTTCTGGGAGCACCACAGCGCTCCACTCCCCAGCCGGTGCTTGCAGGTGGGCACCAGCGCTCCCACCTGCCCCCCCTGCCCGTTGCCTAAGCAGTGAGAGCGGCTGGTCAGGGGGTGCACCAGTGCTCTCAGGGGATGCATGTGCACTCCTTACGCATCACAACCATCTGGGAGAGTCAAACTGAAAATGTTGTAAGTCTCCTCCTCTTGTTGCTTTTAATGCTCTTAGCCCAGAGGGAAACACCTGGAGTGACCCTGCTGAAGCAATTGCAGGTTTGATATATGTGACAGGAAGCAAGGGAAGGGGCAGGGTATGCTCAAGAATGGCCTGTCTTTTGGATTCAAATCATTCTCTCCATTTTATACACTGCTTTGTACATGCCCTTTCACAGTACCTGATGAAGTGATATTGGGCTCATGAAGCTTATGTTACATATCTCTAATTTAGTTAGTCTGTAAGGTGCAAATCTACTCTGCCTTCAGACTAATATGGCTAATTACCTTTCCCTTCCAGGATTGATGCAGACATACCCTATAACACTTGCTTTCTTCTGTTTGTTCTTGTAATAGTTCCCCCAGCCTACAAATGTCTTCTTTCACCTGTATTCTTTTCTTTCACATACCAAGAAGCTCGCTGATTTGGGCATGTTTATTGGTGCATGTCCAACACTACTCTAAAGTGATTGTATTACATTTGTTTTTGAGCATAGTGTGTGCAGAGCAGAACAGTTATACTTTACTATACCATTCCCTGGTACAAGGGTGGCCAACCTATGGTGTAGGTGCCACAGGTGACATGGGCAGCCTGGCATGGGACAGATTTGGGGAGAGGACAGTAGCAGTGGCAGATAGGGCAGGGAGCAGAGCATCAGGTCAGGTGAGAAGAACAAAACAGGAAGCAAAAAGCAGAGTAAACAACGCAGGGTAAGTGAAAGAGCAGAGCAGTAATTGGGGAGGGTGTGGGGCTAATTTCTGGCATATCTGACAAGGCTGGCTCTCACTGCCCTAGTATAGCCCATTGTTGATACAGACAGGCTCAAAGAGGCTGCCTTTCTTTTCCTCTACTCTCTCCATTGGTTAATATACAATATACAGAGCTACAGTGTGCTTGGACCCTGGATCAAGCTACTTTGATCCTAGAACAGGTAAGACTGAACTAATCAAAGACAACTGGTGATCAGTGCCCTTCACCAAGTGGTATAAATGTATGCAGAGGTGCTGTGTACACAGGAAGTATTGGATGACATCCTGCCCCTATTAAGTTCAACAGCCGAACTCCTGTTAACTTTAATGAGGCCAAGGATTTCACCAATTGTCTTTTACTTGTTCTATCTGACACCAAAAGCTGATTGGTACAAAAGAGAATCAGGGAGTAAGCAAATCTAAGGATGCTGCAAGTCAGCACCATTAACTGCTGTAATCACACAGGCCCAGTCAATGGCAAAGCCTTTAACAATCCATCTTCTAGAACTATCCTGCATTTCCTGCAAAATCAGATTGTCTGGGGAGTGGTACAGCACAATAAGACCTTATTAAACAGAGCAGATGATGCATTTGGTGGCAGTGGTGGTTCTGGCTGTATGCCAGAAATAAGTTATAAAGTTTGAAGAGGGGCAGGAGAAGAATGTATTGCATTGAAATAAGGCTTACTTTATTAAGGTAGTTTTCAAAAGCACTCAGCATGGGTGACGGCTTGAAAAGTTAAACCAGCAATTACCAGTACTGAAAATCCTGAAGTCCCATTCTATATGCATTACCCAAAAGGGGATGCCTGATTCTTTATATAGTAAAAAAGAAAAAACAAACAATAGCAAAGTAAAAAAGCTAAAAAGTCCTCAAATCAGCCCTGCTGTCCTTAGTTGTCAATAAAGGTAGTAAGCTGCAGGTGTCTTTCAAGAAGAGTTACATGCTCGTACAGGACCAAAATCAGTGCTAAGAACCAAGAACATTTAAATTAGTATTAGCTTGCACCTCTTCTCTTGATCCCTCCCTGAATATACTAAACAATTTAGGCTTCTTCAGTCATATGTACTTATATACCGATTCCAACTTTAGCCTACATTTTCTAGTAAAAGTCTAAGTCTGTACAGATGCCTAAGTCTGTGTACAGAAATACTTTTATTTCACCATATTTGAAAACAGTATAGGTTCAACCTTTATTCATCAGGGCTAAATCTTCCACTGATTTGGGCAGGGCTATGATGGTTTTCAGAAAAAAAAGTCTCATTTGAATCATTTTGAAAGGGGACTAGGTCATTTTTTAAACATTTCATATTCAAATGTTTTGTTTGTCCAGACCCTAAGATCATGAAACTCATATGCTGAAAAGGCAGAAGAGATGGATGTGGGAGGAAAAGGGTATAAAACACAAGAGAGAAGGTTATTCCTTAAGTTTATTTTGCACCCATTTCTGTCACATCAGCATAAATTTGCCTCAGTCTTAACTCCTTCATTCTTAATTTCTCTTAAATTCAGACTCACTTACCTATTTACATTCATTTGCATCCACTTAGTGATCCATAACTTATATCTGGATATGCCATCTTTAAATTTGGTATAGAGTTAGAAAATTTAAGATTAGCTCCTAAACTGTGCACTTGAAAAGAAATAACAACACTTTTAAACAATTTTGATGGCTGAATTTTCTGCCTGTCCTAATGCACATGTGCAAGTTATTTACTTTATTATATAAAGTGGAACTTGTGGTATACAATAGACGTTTGCATGGCCAAAGCTCAAGTGAATACCAATAAAGTTACTTTTGATTTTCTGACTCTCTTGGCTGACTGCCTATAGACTGCATTTTACCAACCTACTGCTTATCTATTCCTGTTCATCAATTCAAAGCCCAATTCAAGACTCCCGAATATAATCTAAAAAATAGCCCTTGAACCAAATGCCAACTACAGACAGATTACTCAGGTATTAATTTATCCCAAAGTAGAATTTAGGTAAATATTTATAAGAATAGGTTAGTGATGAAAAATCTGTGTTAAATTCTAACTCTATATTTAAATAAAAACAACAAGAGAAATTCAGTCCGTTATTTTAAATTTAAGCAGTTGTTCATTAATGGCATAATCCAGCCTCCACTGAAGTTAATGAACTGACTCTAGTGACTTCTCAATGTAATATGAATGCAGGATCTAAGATATCACCAAAGCATTGGGAATAAGTAATATTACCAGACTGACATTAAAATAAATACTACTAATGATAAAAAAGAAATACTAGTAATGATAAACAGCTCTACTAAATATGGATTATAAAAATGACGTCTATCATATGAGCTACCAAGTTGTATTGATTATTGGATAGTATTCTTAATTTCTCCTGGCTTTTAACTGCTTTGAAAACAAACATAGGGAGGTAATGCGTTCAACACCTACCTCTGCACTTGCAGATAAGACAACCATGATTGTTCTGCTGGAAGCCCATTGGACAGATCTTACCACAAGGTAGTTCTGGGCATTTCTTACAGCGACAGATTTCACAGCCATGTTTGTTCTTCCTAGATGACCGAAATAATTTGTCAAAGTCAGCAAATCACTTACACGTCTGATAAAAATGCCTAAGATCTTCAAAGTGAATGCCTCCCCTGAAGTGACTGAACTGGTAATGAATGTCACCTTAACTGTAATTCTTGTATTCAGAGGTGACAGAGGTAAAAAGATCTCCATTCCTGGCCTGTGCTTCCTCCATGTGACTGGCAGAAACTGTGTTTAAAATTTCAAGTACTTAAGCCACTTAAGTAGGCTTGGTACATGTCTATGTACTGATGAATCAGCCCAGTTTTCACAATCAAGTTTTTTCAAGTGAAAGAGTAGAAGTGTAGAAATAAAAATAAATTCCTAAATCTGTGAGGAACATTGGGATCTATTGTAATTTGTATCTTTCGAGAACAAAAATTATAGTTATTTTTTTTCTTTATGGTAATTTACAGTAGAACTCTATTCTAATCAACTAAAACACTCCAGGGGTTCAGATGAGTAAAAAGAAGGTTCATTTCAAAAACAGAACGAGGAATGAAATATCCAAGTGCAAAAAGCACGGAAAGTGTAGCAGTATATTTTTTTATGAGCAAAGGCAGGCTACCTCTCAGCAGATACATAAGATGGAAAACTAAATATGGAAACATTTATCACCTTTCAGATAAATCTACGTAGCTGGGTGCCACCATATCAGAGTGAACCTCTCTACCATCTAAGATCTGTTGTTTGTATGGATTTTGTTAAATTGAATGTTCACACACCTTTTTAGGAAGACAAATAATGGCAAAATCTGCATTCATACTCCTTGTTCCCTCTAGAATATCAGGGAGTGGAGGATTATTTCTCAACTACACAGATAGAATCATTTTCCACTCATTCCCAACACACGGAAAAAGTAGTGTCAAGAAGTTCAAGGAAAAATGAACCATAAACTATACATTAATCCTGTGAGCTTCATGACAAGTTTTCCCCTCTGCCAAGGCTCCCATGATTCAGGATTTATAATGTGCTGACATGAATGCAGAGGAGTGGGAGACTGCAGCAGGCACCTCACAGGATATTACATAGGAAGCTGGGCTCCAGTTCTCTTGAGGTTCTCCCAGAGGTCCTGAAAGATGTATAGTGAAATCCCTGTTATCCGGCACTCTAAAAGCCAGAATACTCTATTAACTGGAATTTTTCTGGATGGAAGTTTGTATGCGGCGCCTGCTGCCACCCCCCCAGATAACCAGCATCTGGCATTCCCCACTCATGCCAGATAACAGGGATTTTACTGTACAAAGATAACAAAAACAAAGGGAGACCATGATAAAAGGAAATGAAGGCAGAGAAGCTATGTAGGGAAGGGTGTGCAGAGCAATTGGAAGACCTGAGGTAGAGCAAACTGTAAGGGTGCTTTACCAGGGACAAACAGCAACGGCACATAGTTGTGGCACATGGCAAGTTGCTCTGGGTGGGGTGGGGAGATGGGGTCCTGGGGGCCTCCTAGGGTTCTGGTGGCAGCGATCTAGAAGCAGGGAGCTTGGCCAGCAGCTGGAGTGTAGCTCTGACCACCCAGGCTCCAGTTTTGGGCAGCATACACTGCCACCATGCGCACCACCTCGCTTTTTCGCCACCAGGATCTCCGTGTGTCAAAATCCTCCACTGCATAGTAATGCCTACATGGGTGGTATGTTCAGTGTGCAGCACCGCAGACAGGTCTGCAGTGTTGCATACTACACACGTGTACTCATCTGGATGCACCCTAAGGGTGAAGAATAGAGGTAAATTTTGGCTGCTAAAAATGTACCAATGGGGAACAGAGAAAAAGCCCTATCCATATCCACTATGCACTCATTTCTCCATGAATATCCCTTTTTCTTTGTGTATCATTCTTTCCCCAATCATTCCTATCAAATGCAATCCTTTCCATTCTAGAAACAATGTACCTCCATCCTCTTCAGTTCTATCAAGCACAAACCTTTCACTGTCAATATAAATGTTTCTAACTACTTCACTTTTGCATTCATACACCACCCTTTGGATTTCTAGGCTCTGCTAACTCAAGCAGTCTGAGGGTGATATTAGTTATGCTTAGACCAGGGGTGGGCAGCGTTTTTGGGTAGAGTGCCAAAAACACCCACAACCTCAACTTGTAAGATGTCGGTGTGCCAGGGGTGGATGGTGGGGGAGCTGCAAAAGGCCTGATCCTTCTTGTGGCTGTGCAGGCCTGGCCCCTTCCCCATGCCAGTTCAGGCAAGGGTTAACTCTGGGCCATGCTACCTAACTTGTATCAGGGTAACTTCAGCTCCACAGAGATAAAATGAGCAATTTACAGTCTTTCATCATTCCAGGATATACCTCTCCCACCCTGTTTCCTACCCTAAAGCAAAAAGTATCCTGGCTCTTAGCCATGTCTCTCCTTGCCAGCCCTCTAGTGGCAAATCAGAGCTGTGCAAACAAGAAAGGGTATTAATTGTTAATGTGCGACTGCTCACAGCATCTTCTAACTTTACCACTGCTTAACAGTCCACAGATTTAATATGGTCTAAGTGTAATGTGTAACTTCACCCTTTTGATTCAAGGAGTTTGTGAAAAGTAATTTTATTTATATTCATACATTCACACTTTCAAGTATCAATGTTTTAAAATCTCTTTTAATATCTATTTTTTTAAATAAAATCTGAGTTTACATGTTGATAGTTCTTTGTGTTTTTCCCATTTTATTGTCCTAAACATATTTTGTACTTGTTTGTTTGGTTGCCTAGTTGACAGCAGAATTTCTGATTTTTCCCAGGGATTTTTTCTTTAAAGAACTTTAATGCTTATATTTATTAGGATGCTCATATTTACTTAAAACTACAGGTGTAGGTGAATTTCACAATTTTATACTTTACAATTTTGGCCTGCATACATCAAATGAACTGAAGATCTAATTACTTTTTGTTTTAACACTAAAGCAAGCTTAGAAGAAACAGTAATTTTATACCAGTCGCTACAATTTTAGTCACAGCTACAGCATCCACATGCTTAAGTTTAAGTGTGACTCATCCCATTGGAATCAATCCAATAGTTACCAAGAAAACTTTACACAGGATATGGACAAATGGCATTTGTAGATGCTTCAAAGGGAAAGGAGATGTACTAATAAAAAGCTCCTGAGCATCAAGTGTATCAGTGTCCCTGTGCTGAAAAAATGGCAGTGGGGTGCTTTGAACTAAAGCTTGTTCAACAAGCTTCAGTTCAAAGCGCCCTGTCACCATTTTTCAGTGAAGAGATGCTGATACGTGTGACGCTGGAGCGCATTAATTTCTGCACTCCAGCGCTGGATTTACAGTGTGTCTGAGCAGCCTGTGTGCATGTGTGTAAGTGCCTTAAGGGACAGATGGTGTAAACCTTGATCCTCTTGGGAAATTCAGAATGCTCGTACAGATTTAATGGCCTTGTGAGGCAGATTTCTCTCCTCAGTGACTTTTTTGGGCAGTTTTGTTTTTCCTTTTTGAGGGAAAAACAGAATTTGGATTTTAGCCACCAAAGCCTGTTCAACACCTTGCATCCATTACTGTTTTTCAAGTTAACTCATTTGCATGAAAAAATACACAAAAAACCATGGGAAATGCTAAAATATATTGCCAAATTAAATGCTTCTTATACATTACCATTTAATACCTCGTATTTCTATTTAATATTCTAAGTACTGGAAATTTAAATCCCTTTCCCTATAGACTATATAAGTTTAACGGGGGCTATTTTAATAGAAATAGATGTACCTCAGCTGTTTTGTCATCTAAATTTCAATAACAAAAATTCCACAAATGTCTTATCTGGTCTTCAAGTTATTTGCCAAATTCTTTTTGAGGCAGTTCCTAGCATTAGATTTGCCAATGTGAATTCTTGTGTAAACCTGATTTGGTTTTCTCTCTGCAAAACTCATGAACATTCCTTTATTATAAGAATCTCAGAGTCTGAAAATATCATTTTCCATACAACTCTTCCAATTTAATATTTGCCCTTTTATTCTGAATGTTGAATTTCCCCAGATAAGCTTCAGTTGGTTTCCTTGGACTTAATACTGAAATGCTTATCAACCCATCCACCTGTATGATTAGGGGCCTGGAGGATAGACCCTATGAGGAGAGGATCCGGGAACTGGGTTTGTTCAGTCTGAGCAAGAGAAGACTGAGAGGTGGCTTGATAGCCACCTACAAGTACGTCAAGGGTGAACACCAATATCTAGGGGAGCAACTCTTCAGAAAGGCACGCCCTGGGAGGATGAGGACCAATGGGCACAAGCTAATTGAGGAAAAATGTAGGTTGGACATAAGGAAAAACTTATTTTTCATAAGGGTATCTAGAACCTGGAACATGTTCCAAACAGAGGTGGTGCAGTCACCATCCTTGGAGGTGTTGAAGAGGAGGCTGGACAAACACCTCCTTGAGCTCATCTGAGCCCAATAACCTCCTGCCCATGGCAAGGGACCGGACTTGATGATCTTACAGATCCCTTCTGGTCCTTTGATTCTAGGATTCTATACCATTTCTGAAGAAAGTATTATTAATAGATTTACTAATTTTAAATGTAGTTCTACTCTGACGAGTGGCTATATTCTCGCTAAAGATACCTGTGCATATTTGGAACCATCTTTAACTTTAGAAACAAATATTTATTTTATTGACTTATATAAGACAACACTTTTAAGACAGTATAGCATAGATTACATGCCTTCTTGTGCTTCATTAAATTATTGTTTCCTAAGGTTCTAGACAGACAAACACTTTTCAAACAAAAGGGTATATAACAAGATATACTTATCAGAGTGGAAGCATGGTTTCAAATATTTTGGTATTTTTAAAAGGCATGTAGGTCCCTAAATAGTTTTCATGAATAGGTTTTATAGTGTAGTCTGAAGTCATTAACTTTCAGTCACGCTTAAATAAAAAAATGATCTGTGCTACATTTAAATAAGTGTGATATAATCACAAGATTGATATCCTTAACTTAACATTTCCTAATGTTAATGCTTTTTTATTGTTGTTTATA